ATGCCGTTTCCTCCAACCTTGATTTATTGGTTCACAAACATTTAAAATTTGAAACCTGGGAACCTCAAAACTGTCGTGAAAATGAATTACACTGTGGCAGAATAGAGCATGATGTGGATATTTAGCATTTCCTCAGTTGCCCACTTTTGTAAGCAAGTTGAAACTCTGTTAGGCGACCTAAAACTGCTGCTGATATTCCTTCCCTCCCCCCTCTACTTTCATGGCTGAAGAGGAAGCAAAAGCAAGACCGCTGTGCGGTTCCTCCAAAATAGCATTACCAATTTGTTAACATGACCACTAACTAATAGGGGAATACAATTGGTGATCGCTCCAATGAAGAGGGGAATTGCAATAGACATACTTTTTTCATACCCTCGAAGTGGCAGGCGCGCATTTTTATTCTAATTTGACAGACAGACAGACAGAGTGACTACGTTGACGACGCCTTATCGGCATTAAGTCTCTAAGATGGAGGATAAAATACGGAAGGGAAACATATCATTTTTTGTTAATTTAATGCATTTCCTGTCTCTGATCTCATTTGAACTAATTTATATTACTACTTCTAATAAAATTCAAGTCTGAAATGAAATGGAACCTGCTCTGCAATATTAACAAGTATATCCTCAATTTCAAAGCTTTGAGAGTCAAAATCCTTTTCCCAAAGAAAGCATTTTCCTTTAAAATAAACTCTAAATTAAATAAAGTATGGTTTATTCAGAGTCAATTTAGTAGTCTCATGAGAAGAAAAAGGACCTTGGAACTACGAATCTAGGGGATACGATAGACATGGGGATTGTACCTTGGTGAAAGTGCTTTAATCAAAATATTTGCATTAGCGTCCATTGCAGACTCAATACAGCATCAGACCCGTCAAAAATCCGGAGTAAGCTGATCCTACACTTTCAGCAAGTACTCGAAAGCTGCTTTCATCATGTCGATTGATGGGTTGACATTTTTAATACTGGTACGGCGATAATCGGGTCCCCACAACGTCCTATGCAAACACTGGGTTAAGATCTGACGTTGAGGAGGGAGGAGGGGGAGGCCAGGCATACATTGGGACCGGTGTAGTCGTAAACATCGGCTGACGAACATTTTTGACTTTCCCTGATGTATGATAGGGTCTCGAATTCTGCTTCTGATATATAGATTGGTCTATTATTGGTATCTGAATTGAACTTAAGTCCCTCTTTAAATAAGGAGGAGGGTGGTAAAACATCATATCTGGGAGGACAGATCCAAAATCCATGACTGAATGAAAGGCATCTTTTATTCTGCATTTTTTGCTATTGACCTTAGCGAAAGTTCTTATCTTGGGAAAAGAACCTGATCATTTGTGCTTCACCAGGATATTCCACCTTGCTCCTAAGTTTTTTCGCCATTGTCAGACGTGTTTCGAACACCTATTATGAGAGAATCTGACCTGAATATGACACCTATTCTCATAGAGCAAAGCCCTCATGTTAGAGGCTGGCACATGTAATTAACTGCTACAACAAAGCCCGCATTTTGGTGTCAGTTCGCTCCAACTCTTTGTCCTCTGATCTTTGAGAAAATCTGAAAAAACACATTGCTAAATACGTGGCAGGTCATGATCCACTATCTCTAAGCCCACTCTTTGGAAGTACCATATACACATCCCGCTGTTACACTTTTAACATTCCTGAACGAAAGTTCAAAATATCTATCACATTAATCATTTCGTCTAGACAGCAAAGATACACACAAATCTCGGTTTAGCTTTCAAAACACCGTCAAGATGGTCTAGTCAACTTTCCATTCCTCTTCGATTTTGAGAATGAGGCTCTTTTATAAAAAATGAAGGAGTGGGGGGGGGGGCATCATTTATACCTACACTCAATAAATCAGCCTGAATTTTCGAAGAATGAGGCTAATGAAAGTGAACAAGGGGGTGGGAGTGGAGCAGAGCAGAGCAGAGCAGCTATTCGATTGAGATAAATGGAAGGGCGTGAGTATAATGGCCGTGCGTTAGTTCGTTTTTTATGTTTTATTTTTGCGCATGCGCGAGCAGAGACATAAAATACGTCTGTGCGGCGTGCATCTCATGCCCTCATCTCTTTCAACTGTTCTGAATTTTGGAAT